TTCTCGAATCTTCACAAAGCCCTGTACCGTTGACTTTTGTTTTACATAACAAACATGTTGATATTTACTTATTTGTCATAGAAAAAGGTTTCAACTTACAGCAATAGATAAGTAAACAATACATAGGTAAATACAGATAAAGTGAAAGTGAAAGTAATACAGAATGAGATAAAGAGTAAAAACAAAGAACCATAAATATACAATCAAAAGGTTGTATAGAATTTGCAGGAACAATGAGTAAAGTATCAAAAGAAAGTGACTTAGATCAAAACAGAGAAATATCAGAAACACTGTTCTTGTCAGTCAGTTAAGAAGATAGATTTCCTTTGTCATTTCACTCTCTCTCTCTCTCTCTTTAAGATAAGAAGCTTTTATTCTAATAAATATAGCCTTTAGGTAAAACAGTAATGCCGTGTTCTAGTCAGTAATCGTACCTGGTGGACAGATATTAGCAGTTTGAAGGCAGTTGCTATAAGCTACAAAATAATGACTACATGATGACAAAAAAAGAAAAGAATAATGGTAGAAAAGTGTGGAAACGATTAAATACAAATTTATGCAGAAGTAAAACATCTGAGAACTTTGTATAAGTGAAATGAAGACATTTTTACACAAATTTTGCAGTGAATCCACTAAGTAACCAATACAACTTATAAAGTTATAAAAAGAAAGCTGCTTTGGTATTCTTAATATCAAATAGATATCAACATGAATTATGCATATGACATATCTGGTCATTTAAAAGATGCATGGCATATTAAACACCACCACCCTATTCCATCAGGGTATATTCACAAAAAAAAAAAAAAGCGTGTAATATTTAATATTTATGAGTACATGGAACCCTGGTTGATTCTCACCAGGGTAAATTTGTCAGGAAAGTGACTTCTTGATGTTACCAGGCTTGGAATGCAATTCCATCATGTGATATTTTTTGAAAGTACCTGAAAACTATTGCATGGGTTGACCCAAGCCTTTTGACTGAAATTGGGTAAACAGAATTATTTGTTGATGATTGTACTAGCACAAAGTCACAAATCATTGTGACTGAGATTTTAAACATACTAGCCTTGTTCAAACTGTTGAACATGCCAACTTCACATACATCAGGATTTTTGTGAGCCTTTTTAAGAGAAAAAGTGCGTCCTATCAAATATGTCAAGTGTGTGCACGGAAGGTGCAAAAAATTTCTAAGTGATCGAGAAAGAAAGGATTTTTATAGATACGGTTGCCCATACACAACATTATCAGCAAATAAGAGTGATAACTATAGTAAATTTAAAGCCAAAAATTCTCTAAAATTCTATAAAATCTTAAATTATAGAGAATATTTTCTTAAATTTTTAAGATTACTGTGTACTTAAAAGGTGCTTTTGTTATATTCTTCAATATTTTTTTTTACGGGTAAAGCCACCATAGATCAACATTTGATAAAAATCTATGTGTCATCAAGCCATTCCAGTGCTGTTAAAAAGCTGTCAATATAAATAAGCAGCAACTGCCATATTAAAAAAATGTATTTCTGCAATATTTTAAGCTTAAAGTAAATAATAGTTGTTTCAATTCAGATTAATTATGCTTTAAATCAGCTAATATTTCTCAAATAAAGTTCCAGAAAAATGGTTTAAATTTAAACCATTTGTAAATAAAATAAATAAATATATATTTAAACCATTTGTAAATAAATTATATATTTTATTTCAGTTATTTTCTATCTGTTTATTTATTATTTTCTCTTCTCCCTTTTATATATATATATATATATATATATATATATATGTGTGTGTGTGTGTGTGTGTGTGTATATGTATGTATGTATTTATGTATATGTGTGTGTGCATTCCTGTTATCTTGTTTTTTAAAACATTTTGGATAAATTTAAATTTAAACCATTTGTAATTTCTGTCTGATGGGACAGATGTTAAAAACTTACTCATTGAAATAAATTATAATCTATAACCATGTTTTCGATGATGCGTTAAGTTTTACCTTTAGATATATATATATATATATATATATATATATATATATGTGTGTGTGTGTGTATGTAGATATATATGTATGTATGTATGTATATATATATGAAATTTTGGCAGTATGTTTTCATTAAAACATGCCTCATTAAATAATTTAAACAAGTTTTGTCTACTTATTTTTAATAAGTTTCTCTCATAATTAAGTTTCTTAGTATCCTTATGAAAAGAAGAAAAAATTACCATATTGATGCATATTCATTTTATTCTCACTACTTTTGATATTAGTATGATGTCGTTATCAGGGTCTTGTTTTTTCTAAGACAAAAAATTGTTGTGATAATAATTTTTGTAAGACAAAATTGTTGTGTTCATCTGAAAATTAAATTTTTTACGTCTAAAGTGAAAAATATAAAAGGTTATGTATTGTCCACTTTTACATTTTATCATGTAAGCATACATGCAAATGTCAGTGAAGTTATTGTAATGTACAAATATTTTTAAAAAGAAAAAACTATTTAAAACAATTAGTTAAAACCTAGATGTTTCTACTGTAAACATTTTAAAACATTTGTGCAGTATTTATAATTAATTTAATTAGGGGTTGGTTTCAAATTTTAATATGTATAGCTTCAAGAATTTTTAGCTTATGCTTATTATTTTCATGAAAATATATAGATGTATTTTCAAGAAGAATTTTCCTAAATTGCGGATGTGAACAGGCATGCTGTTGTAAATGTTGAGAGATGTCAGATGAATCATTCAAATGAAAATTCAATCTTCGAGACAACATAGTAATGGTAGAGCCAGCATATATATTATTTTTTCTGTTGGAGATACAATCTCCCAAGGGACATTTAAGTTTATATACAATGTTGTTTTTCTGCAACATGTTAGTTGTTGGGAAGGAGTAATTACAAATGATTAAATTGGATATATTGAATTTAGTATAGTATATAATTAATTTTATTTTTTTACTAGGATCTGTGGCGGATATATTAGTATTTATTTGTTTTTTTTAGGATATTTTCATCCTGTTTATAATTACAATGCATTTGATTGTGATATAAAAGATTGATATATTTAGGTTTAATTGCAGAAGTAATATATTCTATTTGCTTTATAATAAAATTTCTAATAGAACATATTTGTTCATCAACAATTTAATTAGGAAGTTATTATTAATAAGAGTTTGTTTTATATTTATTAGTTCACTGTAGAAAATCTTTTACATCTATATATATATATATATATATATATATATATATATATATATATATATATATATATAAATATATATATATATATATAAATATATAAATATAAATAAATATAAATATATATATAAATAAATATAAATATATAAATATAAATAAATATATAAATATAAATAAATATATAAATATATATATACATATATATAAATATATATATATAAATATATACATATATATAAATATATATATATAAATATATACATATATATAAATATATATATATAAATATATATATATATAAATATATATATATAAATATATACATATATATAAATATATATATATAAATATATACATATATAAATATATAAAATATATATATACATATAAATGCATAAATGTATATATATACATATAAATATATATATATATATATATATATATATATATATATATATGTATGTATATATATAGTGACTGATGCCAATTCAGCTGGGTTTGATCCTAGCTAAAAGGCAACCAGATGTCTAGTCACACTGATGAGCTGTGATACGATGAAACAGTCTCTGTGGATGACAATATATATATATATATGTGTGTGTGTGTGTGTGTGTACACACACACACACACACACACACACACATACATACACACATAGTGTTCATAGATAACTTTTGATGAACGTCTATTTGAAAAGTATAGACTTTTATCATATTATACTTGAGAAGCATTAATTCTATAATTTAAAATCAAATATTCATTTGGACCAACTCTTGCTGCCAATGTGTGACATTAAATTAGCCAATCAGGATCACCAACATCTGGAACAAGTGATGACAATCAATCAATAATTTTGATTGAGTTTTACTGATTTTTTATTGACTTGTCCCAATATTAATGTTCATATTTAGTTAGAGCTAAATACATTTTATATGCACAGGCAAGTAAATGAGTTTTTATTGATAAAAAAAAGAGGAAAGTGTTCATTTTTTTCCTTTTATAAATGTCTCTTAGGAATTGATTTAATTAACTCAGTATCAAATAATAGAGTAGAAAAAAAATTGAGCAATTCAATTCAAAACAATAAAAAAAAAATATTCTGTCGCCATATATTGTAAATTCTTAATTATGATTCTCTTATATCTGTTTTGTTTTGCTTTAATGGCTACCCTTTTTAATACTTGGGTGGTTTCATGGCAGATCAGTTTTATAAAACAGTAGCAAGGTTACCATGGCATTGCCTCTAGTAGTTTTCATTATAATCATTAATATTTCTTTATCATATTATTCTCTTATCAAATGTTATAGAAAAATATAAAAAAGAGAAATGTAAAAATTATACTTATTTTGTTTCATGTAACATTTAATCAAATGTAGAAAAGAATAGACAAAGATGAGGATTAAATAGGGAAATGTATAAAATATCCTTTTGAAAAAGGTGTTATCACTTTATTTTATAATTTCAACACTATTATGTAAAATTCTTTGCTCTTTCTCAATCCTTTATGTCTTCCTCTGATCAAAATATGAAGTCTAGTAAAAAAAAGAAGGAATTTAGAAATTTATATTGGTTCTGTTTAAAGGACAATGGGAATGATTTAAGCACATCACTTGGGTTCTTAGAAGATTTAATCCTAATTTAATACCTCAAGAAAAAGCAACTAGATTTTAATTAAATATCGTAATGCGTTTTCATATAAAATATGATTAAAAATAAATCTTGAACTGACATTAAAAGACACATGTTAAATGTCACTTATATACTTGATATAGAAAAGTAATATCTATGACAGCTTATAGAGATATCATGTTGAAACACCTGTTCTCATATGATCACAGAAGTTAAGCAGAATTGAGCCTGGTCAGTAACTAGATGAGTGACCACTTGAGAATACCCATTGCTTCAATGGATGAGTGGGTTATGTAATGGATAATGGCTCAGAATTTAAAAATGTTTTTGAAAATAATGACACACTTAAAGCAAAGGAAAAGTCATTTAAATTGATAAGCTGCTGTGTTTATGCCAGGTTCAATGTTAAAAGTAATGGTATGATTAGTTGCTGTTTTTTTACAATGATGTTCACCCTTTACGAGGACTGTGTGCCACTCAAGTTAGAGGGAGAGATTATGGATATATGTAGGGAAGATAATGGTTGACCCTAGACTTGAACAGTTTTCATACATAAAGGCATACAGATATTTCATGTTAAAACATCAGTTCTTGTACAATCACTGAAGTTAAGCAACGTCAGTACCTAACTAAGCTTCAGGTGCAGTTGATGTAATTGATAATAGCTCAGTGTTGGAAATTGGAGAACGGAATTCAAATTTATGTTAGGTTCATTATATTCATTTATACACAAATACACTTGACAAAAGTATGAATTCACATCATCTCCCCCTAGCTATGGGTTAATTAGTAGAACTTGTATCAATAAAATCATTGTTTTCTCAAAAAAAATTCTTTTCAATTTAAAAATATTTTCTGGCTTTGAAAAATTTGGAAAAGGTTGATAAGCTGTTAAAAATCAAATCAAATCAATCAATCCATACTAGAAACATTTGGCTTTCATTCACCAAACAGAGTTACTGATGGTGAGATTTATAACATTTCTTGCTTAAAATTGAAAAAATGAATGTTAAACTTTTGAAAAAGATTTTTCTTTCAAATGTTCAAGAAATTAGACTTTCTGGGAGGAGAAGTTATCATTATATACCATATTCATCCCAGGAACAAAATCCAAGTGGATTAAGGCATTAGTGCGTGAATTTGGTGTCACAGTAATTTTGTGTTCAATCCCTGGGCCAGGCAATATGTACTTGAACACAGTAGAACAAAACAGATGAGTAATAACTGAGCAGAAAACAAGAACTATACATAGACATGGGGAGTGGAACGAAAACAGTCTACCCCCACAGATTAAATAAATAGTTCAGTTCAGAATTCCTTGTAGGTTACCTGGATCAATATAATCCTGAGTGTACAATGACCGAAACATTGGGATAACAACAACAAAGACAAGAACAATGGCCCAAATATCAATACTGTAAATAATGATAACTCCTTACCCCAGACAGAAATTAGACTTCTCAAGTTACAGTTATCACTCTTTCTAGTAGTGTTGGGAGTTTCCTTCCAAACCCTTTGTTTATGATAGGGTGGAATACCAACATTTTGATTATATCATTATTTCCTTTCTCATTAAATGTTATCCATTTTACTTTTTGCTGCTGTTGGAAGTCTTCAAGTGATGCAGCTTCTGTTCTTTGGTAAAGATTTTTACTTGTGACTTTGTAGCATCACCCTATATGATAGAAGGAGGGGTTGTTTTCTTTAAGATTTAAAGGATTCATTCACTTAAAGCCATTTTTAATCATGTCTCTGAGAAAATGAATGTATACAAATGTTAGTTCAGATCAAGTCGAATGCTATAAAGACACATATATGAGAGTCAATGTCTGACAAGGCTACTTAAGAACATGACTAGTGTTTTCAGGTTTATATTTTGGTTTTGATCAACTACAAGAAGACAGAGGGTATGGTTATTTTCTTCTATGTACTAAGTCTCTTCAGGATGTTGGTGATCCTGGTTTACCACAATTTCCTGTTCATAGAAAGTACAAGAAATTGTGGTAAATCAGGATCACCAACATCCTGAAGAGACATAACAATCTTAATAATTTTTTTGTCTTTGTTATCTCTCCTAATCCTTGTTCTGCCATCCATTTACTCAACCTCACTAGGTAAGTTGTGTTGTTTTCCTTTGTCCCTCTTATGTCCTGAGAGTATCAAATTTTCCAAGCCCTTTTTCCTCGTTATGTACCCATTTCCTGATGAAGTTTAGTATAAGTGTCCTCCTTTTTGTTTCCATTTTCTCTGAAATTTTGTCATTTCTCACATGTTCTGTCCATGGTATTTTCAGCATGCTTCTGTAGAACCACATTTCTGTTGCTTCAAGTCTCTTCTTTATCTGTGAGGAAATTGTTCTGCATTCACTGTCATATAGGAGAACCAATATTACATAACATTTAAATACACTTCACTTTCTTTCTTTTGAAATGTTTCTTTTTCTTAATACTTTGCTTAACTTTAGGAAGGCATCTTTCACTATCTCAATTCATCTTCAGATATCAGTGTTGCACTTTCTGTCCTCAGTGAAAATATTTCCCAGATATTTAAATTGTTGTGTTGGATATCGGTTGAGGAAGACCTTAGACGTCACTTCCACTGCATCAGAGTGTAAGTGAAAATTGAAATGGGTGATATCATAAACAGGAAATGGCTAAAATAAACAGGATGCACAGGTGTCCTGAGCCTTGAATAAACAAGATACAAAGGTGTCCTGAGTGGAAAGAAATGCGTGCTTGCGTAGGCACACGGCCAGAAGAGGCAAGGCCTCAAGAAGTTGCATAGGTGACATACCGGAAGAAGGCATAGCCATGTTAAGTTATGTGGGTGTCCAAATGTTATAAAAACGGCCCGACTCTTGGCCAGAGAGAGAGAGAGAGAGAGAGAGAGAGAGAGAGGCTGGCTAGAGTTTCACTGAAGAATTTGTCTTCATCAATTCCTAACCTCTGTGATTCTCCCTCACTCTACCCAATTACTGAAGTCGAACAATAAAGCTATTTATATATTTTTATATATAAGTCTTTGTCACCTTATTGAGTCCAGCAGCAATATACAACAGTTGTATTTGATTTTAGTATTTCCAATTTGTACTTTGCATGTTTGGCAGGATGGTCATCAGCAAGAGAATAAGCCTAAGATTCTAGTTACAAATTGAAGATGTCAACATCAAGAAAGTAGAGAAGTTTAAATATCTGGGAAGTCTTTTAACAAATGATCGAAAATGTGACTCTGAAATTTGAACAAGCATTAGACTAGCAAAAGATGCATTTCACAAGTTAAAAAAAGTGCTCAGAAACAGAAAAATTTGATTAGAAACAAAGAAAAAAAAATGCTGGGTTGCTCTGTGATATTCATCTTTTTATATGAGAGTGAATGCTGGACAATCTCCTCACAGATAAAGAGGAAACTGAAGGTAGTATAAATGTGGTTCAACAGAAGGATACTGAGAATTCCATGGAGTGAGTGAGTAAGCAATGGGGAAGTCTCAAAATGCCAACAAAAAGAGCACTTTTATTCAGGATCAGGAAAAAGATAAAATGGATGATGGAATGTGGGTAGGGGGAGCTTTAACAAAGTGAGAAAAACAGCTAAGGGCCTAAAGAGTTTTGAAATTTTGGACAACCATGATTGTCAATGTTCTGAAGAAGAAGAAGATGGTCTTAATGTGTTGAACAAAAGTACCCCTTGTGCAGTTTGTCCTGTATAGCAACATTTCTTTATGGTCATAAAAAAAGGAAGCATTCTACATTCATACTTTTAAGATTAGTTGATATTTTATAAATGTAGGATTGTTTTCTTAAAGAAACAGCTTTATGTCCTACCTTTAAATAAGATTTTTTTCTTTGCAAATTTACTGCCATGATTTCTTTCAGCAAACACTTTAAAGAAACATAAAGACCTTTATACTATGAACTCTGATCTATTACTAAGACAATCCTAGAAGTGTATTTAATAATTAAAAACAAAAAAAGCTAAAAAGCAAAATGATCTGGTAAATTAAATGTAAATTTTTTTTTCTTAAATCAAAGTGAAAAAACGATATTTTGGAAAATCATAAAAGAAATTAACAAACACGTATAATAATGACCTATAAATATATAACATCCAGTTTCTGTTTCTATGTGCTTGGTAATGTCTAGTTAACAAGCATTGGTCTTGTGCAGCAAGAACAAAACCTTTGGTTCAAACTTTTAACCCTGTACTACGTAGCCATTGATAGGTACATAATTGTTGGGTACGACTCTTGGAGAAAGACACCTCTGAAGTCAAAACTAGTAGTGGAATTGACTCTTCCCCAAAGTATAGGTAACAAAACATATTGCTATAAATTTCTTCTTTTGTTTTTTCGTTGTTTCATCCCAAACAAGGTAGCAATGCCACTTGGATGCAGCGGGTTACAGGAAGTGAAAGAGAATGAGAAGGCATTAGACAGAAGATGGCGACTGACATTGCATTTAAATTTTTGAAAATTGTAGGTGGCTGGGAAGCAAGAAATTGGAAGGGAGTTCCAGAGGTGAGAAGTGTGAGAAATGAAACTATTAGAATAGAACTGATAGTTAAAACTAGCTAGTTCAATAGCAAAATGGTGAGGCCTAGTTGCCAAACTAGTAGCACACTTAAATTCAGGCGGTGAAGACACTAGAGAAAACAGATCATCAGAAAAATTACCATGATAATATTTGTAGAATAGACAGAGGGAAAACCCTCATCACATTGGTAGGAAATTGACTGAAGTTGAGATGCCAGATCAGGATCAATTCCATTACAGACCCTTTGAATTTTGTCAAGAATTTTGAGATATGTAGTAGGAGCCCCAGACCAGATATGGCAGCATTCGATGCACAGATGAATAGTTCTATATATATATATATATATATATATATATATATATATATATATATATATATATATATATCAATTAATTCAATTTAAAATAATAAGAAAACAGACAACCTTGCAATTATCAAACTTTTCATTACTTAAATATATATATATAAATCAATTCACCCCCAAGCAAGGTGATAGTGTCACTAAGATTCAAGGGGATACTGGGAGTGAAAGAGAAGTAAAGGTTTAAAAGGAACCAAAAACCCAATCCTAAACAGGAAACAAGGGATAAACCTCTACTCCTGTTCAGATGACTGGGTAGGAGTGTGAACCAGACAAAGGCAAACCTAAATTATAATTCTGTTGAATGAGAAAGTATAAATAAGAACTAAAAATGGAAATAGAGTCAAATTTATTATTTACACTATTTACATGTGGGCTATTG